ATGATTGATTATTGGAGCCTGATTTTCTTCAATCTCCTCTTCACCTCGGTGCCTCCCGTCATATACGGGGTTTTAGATAAAGACGTATCTGCAGAAACCCTCATGAAGCATCCAGAGCTTTACAAAGCAAGTCAGAAAAATGAGGTATTTATTTTGGGGGCTTGGCTCACCTATTTGAAAACTCCATCGATTTATCAGATCTCGGTCCCACGCTCCTTGAACCATAATTTTTATAACTTGTTCCTTTCTGACTTTCTGAAAAAGTTGGAGCTGTAAAATGTTCTTAGGCAGGTTTCTAACCAACGGATGGAGATGGATTTTTTTGGAGAGAAGTGTATTTTTCCCCCCATGACATGCAAGATTTATTATACTTCCAGTTGCCTCCTGGCCTGGGCTGCTCTTCCTGATTTTCGTTGTTTATATTATTTAAGGAAAACTTTTCCAGAAACGTGGATTTATTGTACAGCTATTTCTATTCATCAGCTCTTAGAGGAATGGGTCAGTCTGTCTAACACTGATCCTACATTGTTAGGATAGGATAGAAAATATGGAATGGAATGGAAAATAGAATAGAATATAGAATGGAATGGAATGGAACGGAATGGAATAGAACAGAATAGCTGAGTTGGAAGGGACCTTGGAGGTCTTCTAGTCCAACCCCCTGCTCAAGCAGGAGGTATACCATTTCAGACAAATGGTTGTTCAATTCATTAAACATGAAACTCAGTCAACTGAGCGTTTAAAAATGTATCACAAATATTACTGACTATTATTAGTCAATTATTATTATTATTATTATGCCTTTCGAAATATATCCCAGCCAATATTGGCGGTGTCAGAGATTAACTGAGTTTTTGCTTCCCTTCCATGGAGCCTGTGTTGTGGCGTGGAGTGCGTTAATTCTTGTTTTCACCAGAAATCCAGCTGTTGGGATTCTGGGCTTTGTCCATCGCCATCTTGGAAAGTTGACTAAGGAGATTTGGTTTGGATTTCAATTCAGGTTCCGTTGGAGACGTGAATTTAGGTTTAGACATGCAAACTCACATAAAGGTTAATCATTCAAACCAGCAGAAGTGACTAGCCTGTTTTCTTTATTTTATTTTACTTTCATTTCAGCCGTACGTGGGGATAGCCTTTGCAATGAACCTGGTGGATGCATTTTACCAAAGTCTGGTTTGCTTTTTTATCTGCTATTTTGTAAGTATTTATAAAACCAGCTACTGGTAGTCTGTTGGCTTAGAACAGCTCGTTTAGTGACCGGCATTGAAAAAGTAACTTGTGACCGTTTTTCATGCTTACTTGAAAGCATCTCCGTGGTCACGCAATCAAAATTCAGACCCTTGGCAAAAGACTCGTATTCCCCGTGCCACGCGATCCCCTTTTGCGACCGTCTGACAACGGGGATTCACCCGATTACTTTCTGACCGTGTGACTAATTGAACAACGGCGGAGTGATTCCCTTCACAATGGCGGCAAGGAAGTCCGTAAAACGGCACAGAACTCACTTAACAACTGTCGCACTTAGCAACGGAAATGTCGGGCTCCATTGGGGTCATACGTCGAGGACTCTCTTTCCTTGATCTCTGATGCTTGGGCTGGTGGGGGGGGGTTGGTCTAGATGACCTACAAGGTCCCTTCCAACTCTGTGAATGTTTTAATTTTTTTAAAAAAATAGTGAATATTTGTCCCAATAGTGTTTATTTGTCCCAATCTTTACAGCCCCACCTGGATTCCTCATTAGGAATTTCTGCATCAAAATACCAACTCGTTTAATATTGCTTTATGTTATGATCACAGTTTGTGGTGTGTCATTTTTATATATACTATAAAACAGGGGTCGCCAACCTTTTGGACCTCAGGGACCACCAAACTCATCATTTTAAATCCCGCAGACCAGAGACCCTGGGAAAATCCCCCCCAAAAAAGTCTGCAGGAAAATCTCCCACCCCATTTTCCTTCCGATTGATCATTTTTTATTTGGGATCGCAGGATACCATCTCCAGCTCCATTCTCGGGGGCGGAGGGAGAGAGAGAGACTTTTGGCTTCGTGCAAGGAAAGCAGCAGAAGCTGGAGAAGTCTTTCTTTTTCTCCCCCAAACTCCGCCAGAAATGAGCCTTTGCCGGCGCAGCCTCTTGGAGCAGGAGGCCTTGCGGGGTCCCAAAGACTCATTTCTGGTGGAGTTTGGGGGAGAGAAAGAAAGACTTTGGCTGCTTTCCTTGCATGCAGCCAAAAGCAGAAGAAGAAAGAAGCGGAAAGAAGCAGCCCGGTGGCCATGAGAGGCGCGTGGGACAAGTTTCCCCCCCTCTGCCCTTTCCCCCCTCCCCTCACTACCTCGTGTTGTTCACAATGCAAGTGAAGCAAGCCTTGTGTTCCCACACGGCCTGGATTAGTTAGTTAGTTTAATTTATTGTCATTGCACCTGGTAAAATGAAATCAAACACCATCCTCAGTGCACATCATGACCACGAAAATAAACATAACACACATCCTTCACACTCCATATTTAATTGCTTTGGGGGGTGACATTTCTCTGCGGACCACCAAAATTTTCTCGCAGACCACTAGTGGTCCCTGGCCCACTGGTTGGTGACCACTGCTATAAAATGTATCTATATTTGATGGTTACATCATGTTTTTTTTTTTTTTCCTTTGCAGACATTTCTAAATTCTGATGTAGACGTCTACTCTTTTGGAAATCGTATGAATACCACCATGCTTTTTATAATATTACTACACCTTCTGATTGAAAGTAAAAATTTGGTGAGTATCTTAACGTGTTCAGTGCCTTCCCACATTATTTTCATTTTTCTTTGCTTTTTATATTTTGATAAACTAATGACGGTCGAGAAAAGTGTAAAAATGAACAAGCCACCAAGCTATAGCTAAAGTCTCCGTCCAAATAAAACATTAGTTTTCAGACCGCACTTTTTTTAAAAAAAGGGAAGAAAAATTCCCTTTCACGGCATTTAATTTTAGCTGTCCAAATGGAAACAGGTCTTATGGAACCCAAATTTGTACTGTTCTGTTTTTTTTTTTTTTTTTAATTTGTTTCAGACTATTATACATTTCTCTGTTTTCGCTGGTAGCATCTTTTTATATTTCTTCATCCTTGGGCTTTTGGGAGCTTTCTGCCTCCTCTGTAACCCACCAGCGAATCCATACTGGATTATCCAGAGGCAACTGATGAATCCGATGTTTTATCTGGACTTCACAATCGCAATTACACTGGCTTTGCTTCCAAGGTAATGTATTACTTTTAACCTGTCTAAATCTGCCAGTCATCCATCTTGCTTTTTCCCACACTGGCTCTCATCCAGTACGAGGGGGCAAGAATTTACTTTCGAAGTTCTTCCCAGGGAAATTCTGGCCTGGGGAAAATGGAAATTCTGGCACGGGGAAAATAGAAATAAATGGAAATTTTGGCATGGGGAAAATGGAACTTCTGGCATGGGGAAAATAGAAATAAATGGAAATTTTGGCAAGGGGAAAATGAAAATAAATGGAAATTCTTGCATTTATTTACTTCTGAGTTGAGTATGGAGCGTGTGAAATACCCTGTTGTATAATCCTTCCTCTAGCAATCCCAAATCCTCTCTGGTTCTCCACAAGGTACAGGCAGTCCTCGATTTATGACGACCACAACTGAGCCCAAAACTTATGTGGTGAAGTGAGAATTTTTTTTTTTAAAGTGAGTTACGACTTTTCTTGACGTAAGTGAATCCATGTCAAATCCAACAGGGAACCCTCTTACTAATTTAACCAACGCGACGGTCCAATTAACTACGTCGGCAAGAAAAGCCGTAAAGCAGGGCAAAACTTTCGCTTAACGAACATTTTCGCTTAGCGACATAAGTTTCGGGCTCGACTGTGGTTGTAACCTGAGGACCCCCTGCCTAATTCAACCCAATCCTTTCCCCGCTTGCTTGAATATCTGATTTCTTTTTAGGTTCCTGTTCCGGGTCATCGAAACCACCATGTTTCCAAGTCCATTATTGCAAGCCAGGATCCGTGAAGGTCAAAGCTGCGCACGAGGAAAGAGCAGGCAGCAAACCCACAGCAAGTCTAGATAAAAATGAAGTGTCCCAAGTGGCATATATATGATGCATATTAAAATTGACCTTTCTCATATAATGGTTGATTTTCATGGATATATGACTGGCCCTCATTCTGGCCGTTTTCATACACTGTGATTTCTGTGATTATCCTAAAAAATAACAAAAGGTGGTGTTATTTTAGGATGATAGGGTTAGCTTTTGAAAAAAGATACTGCATGCTGCATCTATTTAGGATAGGATAGAATATAGAATAGAATATAGAATACAGAATAAAATATAGAAAATAGAATAGAAAATAGAATAGAATAGAATAGATGAATATAGAATAGAATAGAATAGAATAGAATAGAATAGAATATAGAAGAGAATCAATATAGAAGAGAAGAGAATATAGAATAGAATAGAAAATAGAATAGAGAATGTAGAATACATAATATAGAAAATAGAATAGAATATAGAATAGAATATAGAAAATAGAATAGAAAATAGAATAGAATAGATGAATAGAGAATAGAATAAATATAGAATAGCATAGAATAGAGAATAGAATAGAGAACGTAGAATAGAGAATAGAGAAAATAGAATAGAATAGAATAGAATAGAATAGAATAGAATATAGAATAGAATAACAGAGTTGGAAGGGAGCTTGGAGGTCTTCTAGTCCAACCCATTTATTTAGGTGTCTCTCTCCTTTCTCTGTTCATAAACAGGAACTGATGATTGCAATGTTATTTGACTTACATGATTCCAAACCAACTCCAGGGGTAACAACAATAATATAACAACAAATACTGTTAACCCCCCCCCCCCAAATGACAACAAATTAGTGAAATGAGTATCTTGTAAAACATCTGGCTGGAGTCTTATCTAGTTAGAGTTCCCTAAATTCAGCGAACAGCACGAGGGAGAGTGGACGTCCCAATTCGGGATTATGAAAAGGGTAGTGCTATATGGGAAAATACAGGAGGTCCTGTTGCTAAGTGAAGCATTCGTTAAGTGAGTCGCACTTGCAAATTACCCTGTTTAACAACAAAACTGCTAAGAAGTGGCCATTTGTGACATGGCACCTGCCTTGCAATCTTTCCAAAGTTCTGCATCACTCTCGAAGTTTGAAAATCTGGCTGGTTCCCCAGGCGCTGGGTGTGAAGCTCATGCAGAATATTATCTATTAGCTGGAATTATTGTTCTTTTCCTCGTTTCTCGCTACACACTATTTTCAGGGTCCCATGGAACCCAGAACCTGGTGGAACCGAGACGGCTTCCGAACCAATGAATCAATTAAGAGATCTTAAGTTCTAAACCTGACTTAACTCATTTAGGGTTCTTCCCTTTGCACATGAAGAAAGCGAATAGGAATCCAAGGAACATCACCGAACCGGCAATCATTAGCATCAGTTGGACGAGGTTCAGTAGCTTGATCTTGTTGGTCACTTTCGATCGGAAAAATTCTGCTTTCTTGTCACTGATAGTCGCCGTCTGGAGAAGGAAGGAAGGAAGGAAGGAAGGAAGGAAGGAAGGAAGGAAG